TAGGTAGGTGGGTAGGTAGGTAGGTGGGTAGGTAGGTAGGTAGATAGGTAGGTAGATAGGTAGGTAGGTAGGTAGGTAGGTAGATAGGTAGATAAGTGAGAAGATAGCAAGTAGATAGTAAGGTGGATAGATACATAAGGTGGATAGATACGTAAGGTGGATAGATACGTAGATAGATAAGTGAGAAGATAGCAAGTAGATGGATAGATAGGTGAGAGGATAGCTAGGTAGATGGATAGACAGGTGAGTGGATAAATTAGTTAGGTAAATAGGCAATATGTAGAAAAGTAGGTAGATAGGTAGATAGGTAAAAAATAAGTAGAATAAATAGATAAATAGATAGATACGTAAATAGGTAAATAAGTCGGTAAATAGCTAGAAAAGTAAAGAAATAGGTAGAATAAATAGGGAGGCAGATAGATAAATAAATATGTAGATATACATAAGTATCAAATTAGATAAGTAAATATGTAGTAAGCTAGATAGATAGAAATATAAATAGATAGCTAAGTAGGTAGAAATATAGATAGGTCAGTAGATAAGAGGACGGATAGGTAACTAGATAAAAATGTAAGTAGATACCTAGATAGGTAGAAATATAGATAGGTCAGTAGGTAGGAAAGTGGATAGGTTAGATAGCTAGATAGGTAAAAGTAGGTGGATGGGAGTGCCTGTCCGTTTGTTAGCGAGCCAAACGCCCCAGCGGTCCACGCATATCTCCCATACCCCATGCTCGAGGTCCAGTCATGAATCGCGTTAGCATGATGCAAAAATTGATAACAACCACGCAGGACAGCGCGCGTTTCATTAATACCTCAGTATATAATTTTAATAATTCTGCCATACTAAATTGCTTCCACATTTTCTCTTCTAACTACTTTGTCTTTCTTTTTCTTGTACTGTCAATAACAAATAAAGAAAGAAAAAATATAACAAAAAGAAACAGCAAAAAAAATATAATGAAAAAAAAAAAATAAACCAAACTATACATTCAAATCACCAAGAAGATCAAAGTTCAAACGCAAAGATCAAGACTGACTATGTATATGTATGTGTTTACGCGCGCAAAAGTAAAACTGAGTAATATTGTACATGTGTGTGTTTGATAGCAAATAACGAATGGCGTTGATCGTAGTGGTAGTAGTCATGGTCTGGTACTGATAGTAACATGATACTGACCCTATAATGACGAAATAATGGTGGTAGTGGTGATGGTGATGATGATAATGATGATGATGGTGATGATGATGGTGATGGTGATGGTGATGGTGATGATGATGATGCTGATGATGATGATAATAAAGAAGAAAAAGAAGATTGTTGATGATGATAATTGTTGGTGATCATGATAATGATGATGATTATAGCGACGTCAACAATAGCAGCAATGGTAGTTGAAAGAACTAAGGGAGTAGGAAATGCCAGAGGGAGAGAAAGAAAAATCGATTAGGAGAAAAGAAAGGAAATATGAATAAAAATAGGAAGCATAAAACTCATAACTCAACCTATAATATGCGAGGAAAAGAAGACTTGGACCAGAGAGGTGTTACTGTTCACTAATAAACCGAGAGGCAAGGAGACTGATCAGAACTGAAGGTGTCATAGGTAACTGAAGATCACACGGTCGTACGCACGATCGTGTATTTTTCTTGGATGCTCCATAATTCCATACCATCTACAACCACTACTTAAAAGCTACCACTCGTAAGTTACAATACAGGTAGACAGGTAGGTATAGGTAGATAGGTAGGTACACACGCCTCGAATTCACTTTACCTGTTAATTTACCAAATTCCTCCAAGATCTCCTCTTTGCCTTTTGACTTTGGTATGTTCCCCACGAAAAGTCGTAGATTAGGAACGCTAATGTTTACTTTCAGATTCTTGCCGGGTTTTATTTCGTGATTATCGAGCTGTGGGATGAAGAAAACAAACACATGCCTAATATTGTTCCAATGAGTACATTTTATCTAATTGCGACAAACAAAAGAATTTAGGAAAAATTTTTCAGAATATGCAATTTAGTAAAATAATTAACATGGCCTGGTTCCATGAAAGCGAGAAAGTGGCATGCGCTTTGTCGCTCGAGTCTTCACAATATAGGAAACCGGCGTTCACGTATGTGCTCCTGTAAACAAATTTTAAGCCTACTAATTTTCGAAATTTTGTTACAAAAATTGTCACTGTCCAACGAAAGTCAACCAATTAAGTAAATATACCCCTAACCAATTAACCACACGAATTCTCTTTTTTCTTTTTTGGCATCATCAATGTTTAGGAAAGTTCTCCACTCCCAATTTTGCCCACTGAGCAAAGAGGAGAGCTGGAAAAAGAAACTCATCCATAGGACATCATTATCATATGCATGTATGTATGTATACATACATACGTACGTACGCATATACCTATGCGCGCGCGCGCGTGTATACATGTGTCGCATGTGTACGTGTGTGTGCGTGCGTGCATGTGTCTAAATCTGTATGTGTATTTATGTACATAAGAGTATATGTATTTTGCATATGCGCGCGCGCGCGTGTGTGCCTATACTTTTATGTATATATGCATTTATTTTCTAACTCTGTCTTGCTGCTGTTAAGTATTTGGGATGTGTTGGGCATAATTATATACTTAAAAATATAAATTAGTGGCCAAGGACATATATGTATATGTACGAAACAAATATGTGGATTGTTCCTAACTAAAGACATTGAATTTCAAATTTGGTTACTTTTTACCATTAGCGAAAAAATGCTAAAATTGAGTTAAAACTACTATTTAAAAAAAAAAATAAAGAAAGAAACGCAAATCACAACATAGAACAAGCCACATGGGAATATGAAAAAATGTATTCGAAATGTTTAATGCAAAAAGAAAAAGAAGAAAAAAAGATGCTTCATACTATTTTCGATTCGACGAATTTTGACGAAAATTCGACGACTCGGTTATCGCTTATTTAAAACGACAAATAAAAAAACTCAATAAAGTAGAATATAGAAACAGAAAGAAAACAAAGAAATATAATATATGCAATAATATATATTTAAACATTTCGAAAATGTTATTTATTCTGGTAGCAATAACAATTTTGTAACATTTCTAAAGTTTCTCTAAACAAAAATGAAGGGCATTGATATGTTCATAACAAGATGTTGTAAACTAGGAAAACAGAATTTGTACGCTTCACAAACATGTACCTACATAATGATAAAAAAAAAAAAAAAAAAGAATGTCTACATACCTCTCTGACAGCTTGCTGCGCTGCTTCTCTATTAGTAAAAGTGATAAAAGCATATCCTCTGTTGCAACCTGCCATTGGATCCATCATTAATCTTAAATCCCAAATTTTTCCACATTTTTCAAACAAAGGAATTAATTCATCTTCATACATGTCCTTTGGAATTTTTCCACAAAATACCTTTTATAAAAACAAAAGAATATAAAATTAGAAAAAAGGCGAAAATAATTGCTTTGAAAAAGTAAAAAGAAGTACTACAAAAATACAAGTAACTACTTATTGCTTTACCTCGCAACCAGTTCCTGGTGTAGGACCTTCCCAATTTGGAGGAGGTCCTCCATATTTTCGCTGTCCTGTTGTTACATCCAAAGGATAACCAGTTCGTTCAAGGATCATCTGTAGCATAATTCAGATAATTTTATATCTTTCATAATTTATGTAACTTTGTAAACAGTTAAAACGTTAAATTAATGAAATAAATGTTTACCTTAATTTTATCTTCATCCGGTGCTTTTGGAGTAGTACTGGTACCAGTACCTTGTCCAGCTCTACTTTTTTGTCTATAAGTTTTCATTACACCACAAAGATATGCAGATTTATTTGATACGTGCTCTAAATTAGATTCAAGAAATTGTGTGAGTACATTTAATGCACCATCAACTGGAAATTCCTTTAACGCATCTAATGCTCTTTCATCCAAATCCACGTGAGCTAATTTTCCTGTCTTATAAATTTCATCTAATTTTCCAGCTACTTTTTCATCTAATCCATATTGAATCAACTTTGAAAAATCTTCTGTCCTTTCTATATATTCCATTTCCTCCTTAGATTGTTTCTCTTCCATTTTTATTTCCCCATTTCCCTCTGCCATAGCTGCAACATATTATTTTAATTTTCATGACAATATTTTTGATATAATTAATTTCCTTAATTACTTCATGTTAACTTAAATTTATATCAATTTAATCTGTATTTATTAAATTTTCAATCGTAATCCATCATTATCATTATCTACTTAAATACAATTAATACAAGATATAAAATATAATAATAAAATATCAAGATATAACAAACATTGTTATAACATTAATAGCTGGCATATTACAAATCTTCTTTTCTCATTAAAATACTAAAAAACAGAATAATAACATAAAAATGCATATTAAATTGTATTATAAATATTATTTAATATATCTTATATATAATTTTTAAAACAAATACCAGATTCTAGTAACTAGCAACTAACCAAAGAATAAATTTATATTATGAATATAAGATTGTGAATATAATATTCACAATCTTTTGTGAAACTTTTATTTTTAACTTTTATTTTTTGTATGAAAGATAAAAATCTTATATTTTTAATAATATTTACAAGATACTTTGTAACATATATTTCTTATAATTTATAATACCTGACAATATTGTTTTTAAATATCTATTATTACACAAAGAATTTTTAATAACTACTATTTAAACAGCTTAATGGAATTTCAATAGTACAAAGAAATAAAAAACAGAGTGTATCATAAAAAATAATATTGTATGAGAATATATAAACAAACAAATAAATAAATAAATAAAACAAAAAGAAAACAATAAAATATGAAACGGAAAGTGTTGGTACACCTATTGAAAATGGAGTAGATGTAATAGAGTAAATATAATGAACGTGATCGAAACTCTAATACCACTAACTCCAACGTGCAATAGCCCATGCAATTTCCCGCGTTTAACGATCAACATATCGTATCGTCAACTGCACAACACGGAAAAATTAACGCAGGAATTTTTCTAAATGTCATTACTACATCATCGATGACATTTTATGCCTAATCTTTAATTTGAAATACAAAATAAAAAAAAAAAGACAAAAAAAGTGGCTCCATCGTCGAACAATGCTCTTTAAAACAGAAAAATCGGATTGTCGTAATGAAAAATAGATTCGAAACGATGTATTCGCGGTAGCGAATACTCAATATGGGAGTTCTGCTTGAAAAGAAATATAACTGGAGCTTTTGCTTGGTAGCTTGCCGGCCGGCAATAGAGCTGCATCCATATTTCTTGAAGGATGCAAATACACTTTTACACTCACGGTAACATCACAGTCGCCGCTCTAATTAACCAATTTTCTTTCGTGTTTATGAAAGGATTACCAAGGGAGCACGCCGATGAAAATAATTCACGATACTCATAGGGAGAATAATTGCGTATACCTTGGAAAGTAAATGAATAAAATCTTCCTGTGAAGGAAATGGCGATAGACGTCAACGTGATTGCAGACTACGGGGTTCACAAAACGACGCGCAAAGATACGCTCGAACCCAGCGACACGAGTTAGCCATTTTCTTTTGAAACGTATTCGCGAATTCTGATTGGTTTGTGCAAAAGGTTGAGAAGAAAAAGTTGACCATGCAATATGCACTCGCGAAATAACGAATTTTCGTACTTGAAATATGTGGGTATTACGTACAGATTTGTTCTTAGCCACTTCCAAGCAATTTTTAATGACCTGGCTAGTTCTTATTCCTTGCAAATTATTTCGAACAGATAAAAGATAAACAGGCCTACGTATACACATAAAACATTTGGGACTAAACTAATAATAATTACATATGCTACAAATTTTACTTAACGATTTTTACATCGTATAGTCAACTTTTTCTTTTATCTTTATGCAATAATAAAGTATCTTAAGCTGTAAAAGTTCACCATTGTAGTCAAATGCTATGTATAATTCGTATAATTTCGGTAATCATTAAAATAATAAACTAATAAACTTAATAATCATTTTTTGTGTACTACGATTAGTAAAGTATAAAGAACTTTAAAAATATATTTATTATTTTTAAGCTGATGGTTGTCGATTCACCGATATATTTTTTACTATTTACTTTTGAACCGTGAAATTCAACTGAAGCACTAAACGAGCCGCAAAATTAACGATCGCAAAGTCTAATGCCATCCAAGTTTGTGAAAAAAGTAAAAAAAAAAATATATAATTAAATGTACAACCTCTGTTGCATATTTCTTGATATGAATGTAAATGATACAATAGTATAATCTATATTTAAAAAATTTAATAGCTTCTCAGTAAAACGAAGGGAGAGGGGGGAGGGAGAGAGAGAGAGAGTGAGAGTGAGCAGAATTCGTAAAAATACTAAGCAAATTAAGATAAAAAGTGTCATAACCTCTGAAATGTAATGTAATACAATATAAAAGTAATATACCTGTGTGTAAAATTTGAAATCTTCACGGTACTAATTTTGAACAAATTATAAAATGAAGCACCAGATACCACACAAAACAGTCACAAGCGTTTAATTGATAGAGAAATCATATTCCAAATACCACCTACATCAACACCGGAACAAACTTGTACAGACTTCTGTTCACTTTCACGTTGTATGTTAGCCGTTTGTTCTAACGTTTATTGAAAATTGCATTTAACACTTGAGAATGTTGACTAAAAATGATAATGCAGTGAATTTAGTGTTGTAGGCACTTGGAAAGTTCCGATAATATTGCAGTGATGGTGACGGTAAATGTGAAGCCCGGGCGCAGCGTTTTGATATCATGTAGTGCCTACATAGCCGTAATGCATAAATTGGACTGCCTCGCTGAAAGAGAGGTGCAGTGGTGCAAGCCCTACAAAACCAAACCAGTTTCCTCGGTTGCTTGCTTGCTTGCTTGCTAGTTGCGCCCCAATCCAATCCGATTCAACCGCTTACCTCTCTTCGCGGTATATGCGAGCCCCGCCTTAGTCAGGTTCGTCGCTATTCTTCTCCGTTCCTGTACCATTCCTTCCAATTATCTTTTCTCCGTTTTTTCTCTCTTTCCTTTCTCTTTTCTTCTGTTTTCTTTTTTTCTTTGTCTTCTCTTCTTTTTCCTTTTTTTCTTTTTTAACAAACGTTTCTGTGATTGTTTACCAATTTATAAATAATTTTTCCTTGCAATTCACGTACTTATTCTATTTCTTTCTATTTCTTATCACCGTTTTATACATATTTACGTCGTTATACGAAATTAAACTATGATGTAAGAGCCCAAAAAAATATTAATGATTAATATTAATAATTTATGACAAGGCGCAATATATATAAAACTAGTTTGTACAACGTTTGTATTTTTACCGAAATTAATAGATCAGTATTATTGTAAAACTGTAAAACTACTGAAATTAATAGATCAGAAGAATCTTTTTTTGTGATATCCTCAGTTGCGAAATGTACCAAAAAATAATATATTTGAGAAATTTTTTATGTTTCTATTATAAAGTGTTAAATAGAAATAATACCAGAAATAAAAAAGAGCATATTTAAAATGCAAAAAAAATAAATAAATAAATATAATCTATAAATAAAGCTATATATATATTGTGTACATGCATAGTACATATAGTCTGTATTTTACAATATTTTACATTACATACAATATCATATATTATAATAGTGACAGATAAAAGAATACTATTATCATGTTATTCTGCATAAACAAAAAAGTATACTTGCTTTGCATCAGTTGTACATACATATGTATGTACCGGGCTTAAGTATAAAATCAAAGCAATACTGTAAAAAATAATAAAATCAAAGCTCATATTTATTACCATCGGGTCTAAATGTTTGCATAAACTCAAGACAATATTATAAAGAATGATAAAATAAAATAATGATATATATAAATCTTATTTACGAGCGCGTAATTTCAATAACTTGAAAAACAAAATCGTAAAAAATCTGAAACTTTCAATTATGTTTTTACGTATGTTAGAATATTACTAAATATAGTGTCTTATAAATAGTTAAAAAAAAAATCTCTCAGATTTTGTAAGAAATAAGAGAATACATTCAAGATAAGAGAACACATTACAGACAAGAAGATACGGTCCTGAATTCAACCGTAAACCGCCTGTCTGGTTGAGCACGCACCCGCGTCCCTCAAAGGAGAAGAAGTAACAAAGACAGATGGTGCTCGTATGTTCGCTTGCAGAAACCTGTTCCTTCAGAACTTTTCTGTTTTCTTAATTTTTATTCGTTCAAATTCCATCTGCATCGAAAAATGGTATTATTCGTAATCACAATCGATAACAGTTAATTCGTAAAATATAATTTCTAAACAAAAATCACTTTAATTATTATTCTATCACATATTTTTTCGCTTTGTCTTCCCTCTCTCTTCCATCTCCTCTTTTTCTATCTCTCATTACTTAGCTGCTGCACACTCCACAGACAATGCATTTTTTGCTCGATTCTAGATCCATTGTCGTGGGAGGTTGGAATTTTAACGCAGAAAAATTTGTATAAATAAATATATATATAGTTGCTAAAAGTTTAAAATAGTTCTTGATACTTCAAACATTAATGTTAAATATGTAGCTTATATTACAAAAAAAAAATATCGCGACTCGAATTAAATTAAATTAATGATCAATCGAAATGTAATAATTTATTATAAAACAGAACCAAAATTATCGTTAATAACTCTTTTTCAACATCTCTTACATTTACTTTTTTAAAAAATCTTAAATCTGAGAAACCATCCCGCGCAAAATGTTTAATAATGCTTCAGAAAACTATTTCCCACGTTAACGAATCGAAAACCTTGAACTGCGTGCAGACATCGCAGAAATTTTCTCAGGAACCAGAACAGTCGCATTAAAGCATGAGGCGGACCCCCAGCAAATTGTCTCTTCAAAATACTTGTTTAGCTATGAGAAATTCTCCCTTTTTCACATCCCAAATAAATAGGGGTGAACCTGTATTGGGATAATGGCATGGCAAGCAGACTACTTACTTCATACTCGAGAGAGTCAAACCCTTGGAAGGGTCGTTGGACCAAGATGCTATACAAATTATCATAATAAAAAATATTTAAATGTAATCTTATATTACGCTTTAGTTTAATTTTTTTTCTCTTTTTCCTTTTTTGTTTTCTTCCAAATTGTTTTAAAATATTTTCTATCATGTATATAAATATATACATGATAGAAAATATTTCAAAATAATCTATGTTTTACCTCTTTTTATTGTAAACAAATAGATACACTTATAACAAGCTTGATAAGCAATTAATTTATATTAAATTCATCTGCAAAACGTGGTATGCTTCGATAAAAGTTTTTTGTCATACACTTATTCTATATATACTGTTAAAACAATTTCAAATAATGGCGGTTAGATCACTTAGAGATGATTTCAACAATGAAAGTTAGCTCTAATTCGATATAGAAACGATGACGTCAGAACTCAGGCATTATGTAGTAGCTTTCCATAAAGCGTACTCTCTACTGATTCGAGTATATTTGTATTTGCTATACTTTATGTATATAGTTTCGTGAATGAACATTGTATATAAGTGACACAATCTACTGCCTAAGTATTTTTTTTTACTATTTTCTATTTTACAATAAATAAACATAGTACAATATCGTCATAGAAATTCTAATATATCTATTAGAAGATGAAAGTCATTGATTCGAAAATATATACGATAGTGATCGTAAACATTTATTGTTTGGGCGTTGTCGGGCAATATGAATGGCAAGCCAGGGATGCTTTTGACGAAATTCGTTTAAAAATGGACAAGATCAACGAAGAAAATTGTCCTATACAACATCTCGGAGATCTTTATTTACCGGAAGACGCAGTCTCTCATTTACCTGATATTAAAGACATTAATATAAATCCTGTGTTTCCAAACAGGACTGCTTTATTACATCTTCATAACATGGCACTTAGTAGATCTTTTTTTTGGAGTTACATTTTACAATCCAGATTCATACGACCTGCTATCAATGACACATATGATCCTGGCATGATGTATTACTTTTTATCAACAGTTGCTGATGTTTCTGCAAATCCTCACATAAATGCTTCTGCTATATATTTTTCACCAAATATGTCTTATTCATCATCATATCGAGGCTTTTTTAACAAAACTATGCCCAGATTTGCTCCACGAACTTTCAGAGCTGATGATTTCAATGATCCAATACATTTAGAAAGAATATCTACGAGAAATACATTTACTGTACGAGATCTTGGTGCATTTGCCAGTAGTAGTCTTAGTGAAGATTATACAACAGATTATTATCGTATAAATGAATGGTAAACAAAAACTTGATGTGTATACAATATTTGTATAAAATTTATAAATTATAAATTAATCTGTATTATCAATATTCATTATCAATTTTATGATCAATCAGTATTCAAATTTACTATTATTAATTTTTTAGGTATAAGAAATGGTTACCGGATAATGTTGATAAAAGACATGATACTAAAACTACTTATCAGGTTGAAATTAGATATGCTAACAACACTAATGAAACATTTACATTTCATGGACCACCTGGTATTATTATAAAAGTAATTTGTTGAAATAAACGGAACTTTGTTATTTTAATATTTCTCTTTTTTTTATTTTATATAGGTGCAGATGAATATCCTGGACCAGTAAAATGGACTAGACCATATTATGATTGTGGAAGATCAAATCGATGGCTTGTAGCAGCAGTTGTACCTATTGCAGATATTTATCCAAGACATACAGGATTCAGGCACATAGAATATCCAACGTATATATTTTTATTATATATATTATCTGAATTAAAGCAATTTATTTATACTCTACTATAAATCGCTTGTTTTGTTGCAGTTATACAGCCATCTCAGTAATTGAAATGGATTTTGAACGAATAGACATAAATCAATGCCCAAAAGGAAAAGGAAATAGTGGTCCAAATAAATTTGCAAATACTGCTAGATGTAAAACAGAAACTACTGAGGTAGTAAGCGTAAAGAAACCATTGCATGTTTAATATTTTTCAAGAAACTTTCTTTTTTCTATCTTAATATTATATATCTTTATGTAGTGTGAACCATTACACGGTTGGGGTTTTCGAAGAGGAGGATATCAGTGTAGATGTAAACCAGGCTTCAGGTTACCAAATGTAGTACGACGACCATATTTAGGTGAAATTATAGAAAGAGCAACTCAAGAACAATATTATAATGGATTTGACTGTTCCCGGATAGGATGTAAGTATCTGTAATTTTTCTTTTACGCTTTTTTCTGACTTTACTTTTTAAAATTCCTAAATTTGTATAAATTTAGGAATTTTAAGTATTCTATATTGTTCATTAATGCTATTTCTTTATTTTAAAGGGATTCATAAAATGCCTGTACAATGGGAAAAAGCAAAGCCAGAACTTAGAGAAAAATACCTTGAGCAGTACTATTATTACAGAAATTATTCTATTGGGCCTAAAGCACTAAGATCTGAACAAATTAATATAGATCAAACTCTTAAATTTATTTTGAGTATCAATTCAAAAAATTGCAAAAGGTATATTAAGAAATCTTCATATTTTTGCACTTTTTTCTCTTTCATTCAGTGAGTAAATTAATGAAAATTATCTTATGTATAACGTTTAAAATTACAGTTATACAGAAGAAGATTTAACATTACTTGGAGATGTAGCCTTTGGCGCCAAAGAATTTTTTGAAAATGAAGCAAAAATGGCAACTAGATTATCAAATTTTATTAGTGCATTTCTACAGATTTCTGATTCTCATGAAGTTTATTCGGGTAAAAGAGTAGCTGATAGGCCACTTACTGAAGATCAAATGATTGGAGAAACATTAGCTTTAGTTCTTGGAGATACTAAAATATATTCTGCTGAAATGCTATGGGATCGTAACAAATTTACAAATAGAACATTTTTTGCTCCTTATGCTTATAAAACTGAATTAAATACATTTAAATTTAAAGTTGAAGATTTAGCTAGACTCAATGATTCAGGTAAAATTGAACAGATAACAATATATTGAATAATACTTATAATTGTTTTTATATCGTAGATAGTGTTTATACAAAAAAGAATTATTTTAAATTGTTGAAACAAAGATGGGCGACAAATTTTGATGAATTAGAAAAATTTTATATGAAAATAAAGATTAGATACAATGAAACTGGCGAATATCTTAAAAAATACGAGCATTATCCGAATTCTTATAGGTAACTACTATTTAAAAAAAAAATTATATTATTTATAATAAGGATATAAAAAATATTTTATTCAGCATCAAAAAGGAAGAAAAATCGATCTCGTAAATAAAATTTATTTTAATGTCTGGGAATACGCATTCGTTTGTATAGGGCGGCAAACCTGAATCATGGACATTGGACAACTCCATACTTTGATTGCAACGGCAAAGTGAAGAAATGGGTAATTACCTATGCATCCCCATTTTTTGGCTGGGACAGTTTGAAAGAGAAACTGGAATTCAAGTAAGTATTTCTGTCCACATAGACAACTGAACAAGATATGGCATGTGCATAAGAATTCGAATGTGAGATAGTCCATAAGGATAGAAAACCTGTTTGAGAATGAAAAAAAAAGATCACACATTTTATTTTAAAATCTTTACAGAGGTATTGTGGCTGTTACCATGGATCTACTTCAACTTGATATCAACCAATGCGACGATAATTTTCACACTCCAAATGCATTTAAGGGTACTCACAAATGTGATAAGAGAACTTCATATGTAAGAAATACTATAATTATTTTTAATTAAACATTTATTCAATATTTTTACAATATTGGTAATATGAAAATTTATGTGTGTGTTTTTTGTGTGTATGAATATATATTTATTGTTGTATTAATATATGTGAATATAGTGCGTGCCAATTCTTGGAAGAGGTTTTGAAACAGGCGGATACAAGTGCGAATGTGACCAAGGTTTTGAATATCCATTCGAAGATTTAATTACGTATTATGATGGTCAATTAGTAGAAGCTGAATTTAATAATTTAGTTAATGATGAAAAAACTAGGTAATTAATATATTATATGAGTCAATATTGTAATTTCAAATCATAATCATTTTAAGAAAACTAATGACTTAACACAAATGTTGTTTCGCAGATACGATATGTTCAAATGTCGATTAGCTGCTGCCACGTCGATTGAAGTCAATCGGACATTATTATTGTTGACGTCAATAATATTATATTACTTTATAAGAGTCGTTTCGTAATGACATTATAATAATACGATATTTGTATAATGCAATATTTTTATATTAATCACTAAGATATTGTTACAAAATACAATCCGTCCATTACTATATATCAATTATCATACTAAATCTTTTTGAGAGCTTAATATTTGCTTGTGTTATTATTATTAATTCGCAGAATATGATATTTACAATGAATCTCAAATAAAATTTTCTATAAATGTTTCTATTATATATTAGGAAAAAACTAAAAATTTATTTAAAAATTGTTTCTATAAATTTTTTAATTTCAAATAGTAGTTTTGATATTACATATGATACATTCATTATTGAATATCTAATATAAGTATTACAATATATACATATTGATATTTTAAAAATTGTAATTTATGAAACACTGCTGTTATAACTTAATGTCTTTTTTAATTATTTTGTATTTTTATACGCGTATAAATATACAATTTATTTTACATATTTTGTACTAAATTATTTTACTTCATTTTTTATGTTTCAACACTTAATACTATATAACTATATAACTAACCATGTTTGTCAAAATATTAGCCAATCACGAGTTAACTCATACAAACGATTAAAAAATTGCTAGTCAACAATGATAATTTGACTAACTCTGCTTTTTGTAAGTAATAACAAGTAGTAGTAATAAAGTAATAAGTAGTAGTAATAAAGATGCAAATAATTTTGTGAATATATATATTATCATTAAGTTTTAATATAACAAAATTAATCAAATTATTTCTTTTTAATCTCAATTATCTGACAAACTAAATTACATTAAATTAGGACAAGTAATAAAAAAGGTCAGAATAAAATTAAGACAGGAAATAAATAAGATTAAAATAACAAATTAATAATGTAATTAATATTGTAATGCTATTTAATGTTTTTCTTCTTTACATCTACTAATATAGTAAATAGTTTACATTTACAATTGTTTAATCTATTACTTCCAGTATGAATAGATTATAAAAATTATGTTATTTTTTACTACTTGATATTGTTTTGTATTCCAATTGAAACAAATAGTTATCAATAATATCAATTAAAAATGAATGGCAATAATATTTATTCTAAAATTATCACTAGTTATTCATTTTTATTTACATAATGATATTTAATAAATCTACAACCTTGAGTAAGTTGTGCACCTTCGTTCGCAAAATGACAGGCAAAAAGTAATAAATTGCGTGGCTCAACCTTCAATGCAAAGCGCATAAACATTGCTGAATACAAGCACAATGCTGAAAGGAATTAATACAATATTTTGTAAATTTTAGCATAACTTTGCAGTTTGTAAATCTTCAATAATTCATATACATATAATTCGAAAACATCTACAAGTTTGCTTTATTCTGATACTTTTAAATATCTAAGCAAATCAATTACTCTGAATTTATTTGAATATAGTATGAAAATAGTGTGTACCTATACACATCCATACACACAAAATATATATATAATGTATATAGAATTACATACATAAACTATACTAGAGTTTTTTGTATGGAAATCCTACTTGCATAAAGATAACGAATATAGTTGAATTATGTTATAAGACAAAAAATTATGAATATTATGTAACAACATACAGAAAATTTTGTTGTATAAATGCAACATAATTTTACGTACAACCGTGATAAATTTTGATAAGAGTTTGATAATATATGAAAAAATGATAAAATAACCAAACTAACCAAACGTCATCTTTCCACTGATATATTTCGGATCTCTTTGTATGTCAGCGATTGCTGCGATAGGAATACCCCAATTAGCTATAGGTCCCCAAAAATGTGTGCTAAAACAAAAGAATAGCATTGAAATTATTCTTAATTTAACACATTCTAGATCGAACATTAAGTGACGAAAGCTACACGTGTATACAATCGTGTAGATGATATTCCCATCTATATTATTTACCTCATTAAATAATCTCGAGTTTCTTTACTCGATAGCAATTTTTTTACACGGTTCATTTCGTTATGTTTGCTCTTTTCTTTCTTTCTTCTCCAATAAATTGATCTTGTTTCAAACGAAACCGAATTAAGACACTACATGGATTCGAGTAAATCAACTTCTAGAAGAATAAGAGATATCAGTCTAGTTATATAAACGATTAGCATAATGAATTTGATCATCTTATGAAAACTATTTCATAAGAGTATTGAATTAACGAAATTTTTTCACATATGTACTCAACGTAAACAATGTTCATTTTCATTTTCATGATCAATAATACGATGCATAAAATAAAACACGAACAGTTTTACAATTAATGCGTTGACTATTTTAATTGTCAAAAAAATATACAACTTCCTTAATTTAAGTTGGTTCTCAGCTTATATTTCGTAATTTGATTTTGTAACTTTCACGAGACCGAAAATATTTTAATTTTACACGAATCAACAGATCAATCTATATATAGGATGCAAGAAATAATTTCAAACAATCAAGCATTAAACGTATTTTTAATTTAGAATAATTATTCAAAAAATATATACAAAGTTTATAATATATTATACTACCTTACAAAACTAGCGTGTTTCTTTTCTAATTTTTATAATTACAAAGCAAAAAGGGATGTTACAAAATGTACAACTATATTTCAAAAACGCTTTCCTATAATATGCAAATTAACAGATCTATAATATATCATATGGTAATAATAATAGATATAATTTATAAAACAAATTGGCAAAATCTTGCATTTTTAATGCTACTTGTGATACTATTTGTTAGTTGAACCAAATATACTTTAATTCATATGAAACCAATGAATATTTTTTTTATAACTATATATGGATAACATACAAAATTGAAGTATTATATACATACATATATATTTTATAATATAAGAATATTTTTTTGATATATAATAAGAGGTACTTGTCGCTCATTAAATGTTTAAGTTTGACACGTTGACTGTTACGTGTTAAACACATAGAAGTACAAACACTTACTTTAGCCATTCATTTACCATTACCTTTCATTTACATATTTCTATTGAAAAAATATTGTTATTACAATGTTAATTTTTAAGAACTATAATCTGTATTAAATATATAATGTTTATATATAAACAATTATATTTATAGTAACAGTTCTTATTAAATCGCAATATTTAGTTATAGTACAAAGACTATTTTTATTTTACCCTTTTTTTAGTAGATCACTGACAAGTAAAGTTTTTAAAAATCATAACGTATTAAAATTATTTTAATAAATATTAATTGTTGTGTATTTAAGAATAATAAATGTAGATTACCATGTTATTTCACGTTATTTTATGATGCATTGTATCACGAATAATACTCAGAAAAATGAAAATTTACTTTAACAATCGAGCAACGAATACCTACAATGAGCATGATGTTTTTTCATACATTTGTTTCACATATCATTTCTAGTTTAAAGGAAAAGATATATTAATGTTTTACTTTCAAATATTAGTATTAAGATCAGCACTTGTTAAACTGTATTATGTCACTATTTCATATGTATCTATAAATTAGATACATATGTAAAAATATAAAAAGTAAAATTATAAATTGTAGATTGAAAACTAGGGTTACTTTTATGATAATAAGAGTAAATCCCTTTGGTATTCATTATTCATCAAATGTGATGTAATACAATATTTAATTTTTTTCACCAATCATTTTATAGTTGTATTACACATATCTTGTAAACTTCATTGCTTCATTGCTTTGTATGATTAACAATAAATATGTATGAATCGTTTTCATATACTGATGTTTACAATGTTTACAAACTGCAAATTATTGATTTAAATGCATTGCATGTAAGATTTCTAACATATTTCTCTTCATTTTTCTTTCTTCCATTTGTATAACATTAATAAATCAAAATAGTTGTAGGAACCCTCAAAATGTATATATATATGAAATGTGTATATATATATATATATATAATGTGTATATATATATATATATATATATATATATATATATATGAAAAGAAGAATATCTGAAATTACTATTTTAAAAATACACACTTACTTTAGTATAATATAAAATAATATAGTTTCACCGAACAAATAAAAGAAGAAATTAATAAAACAAAAGTTCTAACATCTCTTTTAATTTCTGATATTTAATTTTTTTTATATTTTCTTCAATCATCAAATCTGTTTCTTCTCTTATATGTATTATAATCTATAATTGTTTTGTAATTGTTTTATAAGTTATATTAACATTTATCATCTGCTGTTGTTAACACGGGATCATTTGTAAATGATCATAAAGTAGCATAAAAAATAGATACTTTATCATACTTTTTCATCAATCTCCTTTTCATCATCTTATATAAAAACTTATTTTTCCTTTGGTACATACAGCACACAATAAGCATACAAATTAATAATAATTATTTCAACTAGTCTCCAAATTTTGATGCGAAGCAAATAAAAAAGAAGACAAAATTGTCTGTTGATTTTGAAAAGCTTTTAAATTAATTTTCAGATGTCAGTCATTATTATTGCCATTTTATCATATTTTTAACATCTATTGATTCTTATCAATCTGTTACAACTTCAATTAATTATTAAAGAAGAAAGGGAACATTTTTCTGATTTTTATCAGTATATTATTAATATATCAACATGCATAAAAAAAAGAAAAAAAAAGAAGAAAAGAAAGTCATTTTTTCTATGTACATGATACATACATTTATAGAGTAATGCAATGTTTATTCTCTTTGCTTATAGTCTGCTAATATGATTAAATTTTTCACTCTTTCATTCAAGTGTAATCACTATCATTGCGTGTTACTTTGGAGAAATTAACTGGTTTGTTATTTCGTTAACATATATATGTATGTACGAATATATCTGTACTATATATTGGCAATAAAAATAAAACATATTAACGGTATTGAACTGTAACAACATATATCTCATTTAGTGAATTTTCATAATTCTAGAATATTAGAAAATTGTCAAAATAAACAATTGTATTGCTTACATCTAAAAATTAAATATGTTTGTGACATCGAATATAAAGAAAAAATATAATTCACATTAGAAATATCAGAATCGGTTATTTGAAAATTTCTTTAATACAACTATTGAAAATCAAGGCACAATTCAATTCAATCTATAATATATACTATTTACTTTCATATTTTCGTATAAATTACATTACTAATAATATACTGTCTATGCAACCAAAGTTTTAAATTTACTTATCACTGAATCTAAAATAGATGATCAAATTCAACGTAAATTGCATACACTTTTATTATTATTTCAGAAAAGTATAAAAGATAATGTATAAGATATGATAATAAATCAATGAAAATTTCTTAAACTTAAAAATTATTCAAAAAATAGAAAAAGTAACTAAGGAAATGTGGAGATAGATAGACAGACAGATAGACAGACAGAGATAGATACAGAGACAGAGACAGAGAGAAAAGAAAATGAAGAAAATGAAGTAAAGAAATGGAAAAATAAAGCATTAACAGCTATTAATATGCAATGAACACATTTCATCCATTCAAAAATCTGTACAGTAACAGTTAATATTTATATATTTGTCATTATTAATCGATCAATGTAAAAAAGAGAAGTTAAATAAGGCCAATAGATTTAAAGTCGCATTATTCTATTTGCAATATCACAGTACTTGCTGAAACATATAAATACACGTTTCCAATAGATACAAGAACCAATACCAATAAAAATGGCAAGCACAATATTTTTCTTTCAATGAACATACTATATGTATACGAATACATATATCGTCTAATCGTCAGTCGCTTTTTTTTCATTTTTCCGATTTATAATCATTATGTTCGTAAATTGATATGTGTTATTAAAAATTTATTCTATATACTTTTTAAAAAATACGTAAGTCTTTCTCTTTCTTTTTTTTTCACCACACTCTCAACTTCAAAATTAATCATGTCACATTATAACAATAAAAGTTTATAGTAATTATACCATGTAAAAATATGATGAATGCCCACAAATTTAAATTTTACAATTACATGTAATTTCATCTTCTACAACATTACGCAGTCCCAATAGTTATCAATTATCAAAGAAGTCTGTCCTTCCAAAAAAAAGCGATTCGGCCAACAATTTTGCGATTATAATAAAAGGATAAGAAAAAGAAGAATAAAAGAGAGGAAAAGAAAAAAAACAAGTTAGAAAATAAACGAGTACGATATGTTATTGAAATTAAGGAACAAACGCGAGGGTTTCTGTTTTAGGTATGATCATTGTTCTTTTTCTCCTTCCCGTGTAAAACATAGCATGATGTGTGCATACACACAATATACTTATGTATACGCGCACGTATGTATTATTCGTGATCACTCATCCTCTTTGCTCCATGCATACACATATACACATTCACTCGCTTATCCTCCGTTATATTTACATACGTACGCGCGTTGACAATTTCACAAATTTTTTTACGATTCACATTACCCTAACTACTTGTCGGTCCAGAAGAACTTTTTCGGATAGTATTTACAAACTCAAATTTTTCCCCCCAAAAAAAAGAAAGAAGAAAAAAATATACGAAAGATTTATCATCGACTTAGCGAATATAAAAAATTCTAAGGCTATTGTCATACGTAAACTGGACCTTGATTATCATTATCGTCCAAACTTATTCGACTAGGATACACAGGACCACCACCATCGTCAAAAAAGCGTCTAAAAGTAAATTCAAAGAAACCATGAAATGGTTTGTTATTATCTAATACTTCGTTGGATTTGGAATCTGGCGATTCCGAATTTCGTAATTTATCAGGATCCACGGGATCAAAATTACTTGTATCGGTAGCATATTGTATCCGAGGTATGTGAGGAGCTACTTGCCGACGCAATCCTTTTTCAAAGTCAATGTCCGCAAAAAATGGATGACTCTTTACTTCGTCTGCATTCTTACCTAACCGACGATCTGCACCAACACATAATTTTAATATCAAATCCATACCTTCCTCGGATAGATTCGCTTGTTTCGGGATGTGCAAAGTCGTTTCCCAATTGATCACCTGCAATATACAAAATATTCTCAATGCTACATATAAAAGCTACATTTGATGACAGAAGAACAAGAAAATAAGTACTATAATTACCTTATATTGTGTCTCAGCTGGAGTATTAGCAAGAAAAGGCGGAGAGCCAACTAACATTTCATATAAAATTACACCAACACTCCACCAATCGCACAATTGAGTATATCCTGTCCTCTGCAGTACCTCTGGGGCGATATAATTTGGTGTTCCAACTAAAGAATGAGCCAAGCATCTTTGATGTTCTCTGTGTCTTCGACGTTCCAATGGTTTTAACTGGATGCAACGACATTCATTGCTCCAATCGTCGGCAGGATCCATCGAATCTTGTTTTCCATGTCCTGTTTTAATAATAATAAAATTGCAATATATATGAATATGTAGAGATGCG